TTATTTTTTCTGGGAAGCTTTTTATTGTTTCAATTTTATTTTATTTTCCATTTTAAATGTAGCCTTGCTGGGTAGAATAGTTTTGGTTGTAGGTCCTTGCTTCTCATCACTTTGAATATTTGTGCCAATCCCATCTGGCCAGAAATGTTTCTGTTGAGGAAACAGCTTACATTCTCTTTTCTAGGTAACTTTCTTTCTTTTGCTGCTTTTATGATTCTCTTTTTGTCTTTAACTTTTGCCATTTTAATTATGTTGTGTCATGGTGTGGGCCTCTTTGAGTTCATCTTTTTGGGGGTTCTCTGTGCTTTCTGGACTTATTTTTTCCTTCCCCAGGTTAGAGGAGTTTTTATTCATTATGTCTTCAAATTGATTCTCAGTCCCTTGCTCTTTCTCTTCTCCTTCTGGTACTCCAATGATGCAGATGTTGTTACCCTTGATCTTGTCCTATAGGTCCTTGAACTATCCTCATTCTTTAAAATTCTTCTTTTGTGCTATTCTGATTGGGTGTGTTTTACTACCTTGTCTTTCCAATCACGAATTTGATTCTTTGCTTCATTCAAAATGCTGTTGATTCCTTCTAGTGTATTCTTCATTTCATTTATTGTATTCTTTATTTCTGATTGATCCTCTTTTATGCTGTGTTGTTTTTTATGATTACTATCTTTTTGTTGAAGTTCTCTCACTGAGTTCATCCATTCTTCCCATAAATTTCTTGAGCATCCTTAAGCCATTGTTTTTAACTCTATATCTTGCAGATTGCATTCCTCCATTACATTTAGTTCTTTTCCTGGAGATTTCTCCAGTTCTTCAATTTGGGGCATGTTTCTTTGTTTCCCAGTTTTCTCTGTGTCTCTGTATTTATTTTTGTATATTAAGTAGATCCGCTATGTTCTCTAGTCCTGGTATGGTCGCCTTATGTAGCAGGTGTGCTGTGGGGTTCAGTGGTACACTCTCCCTGATCACTTGAGCTAGGTGCTCCAAGAATGTCCTTTGTCTGGGTTATATGGGCTCTCTTGTTGTAATTGCATGTTGATTGCCATTTGTCTATCCATGAGCGGGGTTTACCCTCAGGTTGCTTGACTTTGAAGACTGACTCTTATCTCTGTATACAAGCTGCTGTGTTGGGGGCTGGACCCATGAAGCAGAATTCGTCCCAGTGGTTTCTGGTGCCTTCTGAGATCTCCCTTTGCATGTCCCACTTGTGGAGGTAATCAGGTCGCACTCTGATGTGGCCTGAAGCCAGCCATCATGTTTTGTTTTGTTTTTGTTCTGGGGCCTCCTGTGATGGACTGGTCAATGCCTGTGATGCTGCCTGTGACTGACCATGAGCTATAAAGAGCTATAAAGCCATCCACTGTTCGCGGCTGCCTCTGCTGAGCCTGAGTGTATGGGAAGAGCCATGCTGTGTACCAAGGCTGGCTTTCACCAGTATCAAGTCTGTGACAAGTCAACAAAATGTCCAAGGCTCCCTGAGATTTGCTTACTCTTGCCAACTATCTGTGAGGCTCAGCCACTGAAAGAGCCTCTATCATTAGGCCAGTTACACAAGGCAGATTCTCAGTGAGTCACAGAGGTTGATACAGATTTAAAATTGGTATCTGTTTGGGTCTGTGGCCACTCAGCAATTGTCTCAGGGTACACCAAGGTCACCCAACACCTACCTAAGGCCTTTGTACCTTTGTGGTGTGGTGAGGTCTCAGGGAGTTGTCAGGTTTAGGCCATTAGAGTTCATCAGGTTAAAACAATTTAAGATTTGGCCATGTTGAGTGAGGGCTCTGCACAGGAATGGTGGTGCCAGTTAGGGTGCATGGGGGTAAACTGACCTTTGCCCTAGAACCACACAACTCAGTCTCTCCTTCTGTGTCTCTGACACACCCTGAGTATTTCCAGACCTCTTTGAGATCGTTCCAAGAAAGATTGCAACCCAGACCCAAGCTGGTCGCAGCCAACAGACTCCTCCACAGGGTGCAAGCTTGGGAGTACAGAGCCACAATGACTCAGGAGCATTGGGCTAGGGCATCTCCCCAGGCCAATGCTATGGGGTGGCAGTGCTGGTCAGGCACATGAGGAAATAATGGCCCTGGCCCTATAACCACTCCACTCAGTCTCTCCCTGTGCATCTCTGACACCCCCTGAATCTGCCTGGACCTCCTCGAGAACCTTCCAAGAAAGACTTCAATGTGGGTCCAGGCTGGCTACAGCTAGCTGATTCCTCCATAGGGTGCAAGCTTGGCAGGGCAAGGCCACAGGGAATTGGAAGAGTGGGGCCAGTGCATCTCTTTAGGCTGATGCTGTATGGCGGGGAGTAATCCACCCAGGAAATTTAGCATCTGTGGGTGGTGTGGGAGAGGCACTCAGCACAGGGACATTGGCAGCTGTCCCTCTAGGCCTCTCCCTGAAATCACACAACCCAATCTCTCCCTGTATGACTCCAGTTTGTTCTGTGCCACTGTTGCTCTGCCAGAGCCAAGGGTGAGTGCATGCTAAGGAGATTTTTTGCATTGGCCCTTTAAGAGGGTGCCTGGCAATGATAAAATTATTTTCTTTGTGGAGATGTTTTGAAGACTGAACAATTTAATATTTGTAAAGAATTTAGAATAGTTCTACCACATAGCAAGCACTCTATATGTGCTTGTTAGATATTAAATAAATAAAATGGCTCCAATAAAATAGCAGTCTCCGGTCTCACTCTGATGAATAAAATTCCTGGCACTGGTGTTTTGGGCTTGGGAACTCAGCATAGGACTGAGACCCTTTGCTCCTAAGGCAGGACCTATACTGCTAAGATATCTCTCCAGATTCTCAGCTGCTGCACATGGATGTGGGGCCAGCCCTTTTCACATCTCCATCCTTCCTACCAGTCTTGACATGGCTTTTTCTTAGTTATAAGACTTCTTCAACCAGTCTTCAGTTGGTTATTCAGGTTGACTGTTCTGTAATTTACTTGTAACGCCAATTTGGTCTTAGAAGGTGAGTATAACCTCCACCTACTCTGCTGCCATCTTGGATCCTCTCTAACTATTCTTTATAAGTGCAGTCATGCAATGTGTCCTTTCGTGTCTGGATTGTTTCACTTAGCACTATTTTTTCATGGTTCATGTTGCAACATGTATCAGAACTTCATTCCATTTTGACTAATATTTCATTGTGTATATACATATTATATGTCTTAGTCTATTCAACTGATATAACAAAACACCATAAGGTGTGCATTTATAAAAGCTGAAATTTTTCTCTCACAGTTCTGGAGGCTGTAAGTCTGAGATCAGGGTATCGGCATGGTTGGGTTCTGGTAAGGCCCCTTTTCTAGGTTATTTTTTATTCCTATGTATGTTTTATGCTTACAGTATATGTTTATATCAACATAAAAGATATCATTGTCATGAATATTTTTAAAAATTATTGTTAGTTCTTTGCAAGCGGGCAGAGATTGCTTCACTTTGCTAGAGACTCCAATTGGAGAGCTATCAGTCCCAGAGACTTAGAGCCCAAAGAGGTCATTAAAATTGTGGGACCCCAAGACAGAAAGCATTACATAGTTTGCTGGACAGTTTTCATACCACAATCTTGTTCGGAGCCCCACTCAAAAAATGCTGTTTTGTGGGTATTTGATATAAGAGCCAAATAGGATGCCCATGTAATCGCAAAGAGTTTTCAGTATCCAAAGAATCCAGCTAGGTGCTGGGCCTCCTTTTTGGTGGTAGGGGAGGATGAAGAGTCAATTTTTGCCTGCCTGAAGGACTGAGAATTATAAACCTTCCTACATAGTACTGAGCATCATTGCTTGGCAAGTAGGCTCCTGAGTTTTCTTGGAGATTTTAGCCATTCTTCCCAGATGTGTGATGCCACAGCATGGGCTGTTCGGGCTGAGACTTCTGATTTACAACAATCAGGACATCAAGTATATAGTGAAAGTTTTGAAAATCAGTGTAGAAGCACTTGTGTTAAACTTGGACCTATCAAATTGCGGCCAGTGGAGTTTAGGTAACCCTGAAGTACAAGAAACTTATGTTGGAGATCTGTTCATATGAATGCAAGAAAATCTGATCTTTAGGTGTCAGTAGTGTAAGAAAGGTTTTGTCAATGTGTAAAACATTGTACCATGTGCCATTAGTCCAGTTAGTCACATTGTCTCCAACAGCTGAGACTTTAGGAGAAACAGAATTTATTTGACAATAATCCACTATAAGCTTTCAGTTCCCCTTAGACTTTTGCACATGGCTGTCCTTGAACCTCTTACTACCTGTGCTTCCTTTAAATATTTAATCTCAGCTGTAATTCTTTTTCCTCCTGTGTTTCTATATACTCAGGAAGGGTCAGGGAGCATAGTGTTAAAGTGATTTACGTGTCTCACCAACACTTCTCTACATGTGGCTGAATCTTAGCTGGCACCTATGGGTAGGGAAATACAAGCATCTGTTCCTAATACATTTAAGATTTAGAGGTAACACTTAGAGTGAACAGAAAACCCAAAAGGTTTTACTCATGAGGTCATATTGGCTTCTTTTCTGCACTGTAAACCAAGCCCAAACCCATTAGCTCATTTTTTATGCCATTTCCTTTGGCAGGTCAGAGTATAAGTGACTTGAGCATCCATATCTCACAGGGCTAGAGAAGTCTGATTCTCTCCCTTCACCAAAATTCCCCAGCATATTCAGACAGGTGCATATGACTTTTAATCACCATTAAAGACAGGGAGCCCACAGCTCTCACCCTGCAACCACTTCCCCAACTCCTCCTCATTAAAAGAGGTGAGACAATTTATCACATAGTCTATGTGTTCACCACCAATTATTATAAATTACCCTCAAATTCCATTAATTGGCTGGTGAGGTCCTCATTCTTCCTCTTGCAGAAAATCATGTTTCTATCAGCATTTTATCCTCATTGTTACAAATATCAAGAACTGTGAAGATTATAAAATTTTACCCTATTTGTGAATTAACAAGGTAGCCTGTTACAGTTTCTTGGGTGCTGGTAGAAGACAGGAGACTTCTGGGTCAGAGACAAAGGATAGTTTATTATTCACAGCAATAGCAATAGCCCAAATATCAGTACTTATGCCCAGGAAGTCTGAGTCACACTTAGCACAGGGTGATATAAAATGGTCATATGACACCTACATATAAAGTTGGTTGCATTCCCAGAAAGGGAAACTCAGTTTGGGAAGCTCTAACTTTTATAATGGGCAGTAAGTGCCCCTTCCCTTTGTTCTTGAAGGAGACATTATCTTTATTATCTTGGAATGAGCATTCCTTCCCTTTGCTCCAGAGGAAATCATTCTATCTTCCACAGGCTCTAAGCAAACCTGCTCTTTACTTCAGAGAGAGATACTATCTCTATCTGTCAAAACTGCTTGCTATTCAAACACCTTTAGAAAGATAGCTTAAAAGAAAGAATAGTTAGTGTCTTTCATTCAAGAGTACAGAAGCATATCAGACAAATGTGGAATTGCTTTGCAACAATATGAAATTGCTGGTAATATGCCATCTTCAAACATAAGATAATGGCAAGTTTCTCTCTGACTTAAAGTAAGACCTACAGTGTACAGGCTCTCTCCCTTGTTTAACTAGTCAATACATATTTTCAAACTTCACATGTATTGCTGCTCTGATGTGTGTGAAATCATTTTATTTAATTTATTTTCTTACTTACCAATGAGATTCATGTAGTCAACAAATATTTATAAGCCAGATATTCTTCTAAGGACTTGGGATACATTGGTGAGTGTGAAAGAAGAAAAAACATGCACTTACAAGGATTACATTCTTGTAGGAAAACAATAAACATATTAACTAAGGAAATTATGTGGTATGATACAAGATTACATATGTTATGAAGATACAATAAGGTAACAGGGAGCATATTAAGGTAATGTATGTTTATTGACCATGTGGTCTATTGTGAATTGCCTGTTCATGTTTTTACCCAAGTTTTCTATGGACTGTTTGTTTTTTCTCATTGAACATATTTTTTATTTATTTTGTCATTTTAAATATTGTAATTTGTAGCCTAATCGCATTTTACTCCACCATGTATATGATGATTTTGAAATTAGGGGTTTGCATATTTTAATCAAACATATCAAACTTTTCCCTCAATACCTGTGCATTTTTTGCCTTTAAACAAAATCTTCCCTATTTTCACAAGTAAATAATATAAACATTCTCTTTCATTTTATTCTAGAAATTTTATAAATGTTACTTTCCAAATCTAGGTATTAACTATTTTCCACTTGCAATTTATTTTGTGTGTAAAGTGTGATAAAGTGGCTTAAGTTTATTTTTGCCAAAGGGAAAAAACACACAAACAGATTAATCCAGCACCACTTATTGAATTAAACACTTTTTTTCATTCATCTAAAATGTCACTTTATAATTCGTTTTCTACTTACAAATCTGTTTCTAGGTCCCTGCTCTGATTCACTGACATATTTGACCTTACTCCTTATACTCCATAAAAATTACTTTCCAGAGTTATCGAATTGTCAGTGATACTGTTAAAATATAAGGAAAAGCATGCCATGCCACTGCTGAAAATATTTGATTGGCTCCCCGTCACACTCAGTGTAAAAGCCAAATTCATTCCATCACCTCCAAGGCTCCAAGCTATCTGCTTCTCTTGGATCCCCACCACCTCCCTGAACTCACTTCTTGATATTCTCTACCTCGCTAGCTCAGCTTCAGCCATGCTAGTATCCTCAGTGTTTCTGGAACATGGCAGGTCACAAGTGTCTTGGGAGCTCAGCTCAGCACTCGCAACCCCCTACCTGGAATGCTCCTTCCCCAGACATGCACAGGGTCAGTCCTCTCATTGCCTTTAGGTCTTTACTCAGAAGCCATGTTCTCAGTGAGGCTCTCCTGGCCTCCCTATCTAATCAATTTCACACTCCTGTCTGGAATTTCCATTCCCCATTCTTGCTTTCCTTTTTTTCCTTCTTAACACTTACCACGTTGAAATTGCTTTATATTTAGTCACTGTATCTTGGCTACTGTCTGGCAAATGAAAATAAAAGTTCCATGAGGGTAGGATTATTTTGTTTCTTTTGATCATTACCACATCATAAGTGCCTGTGCCTAGAAGACTACCTGGCAGAAAGCCTACCTGTAGTACCTATTGGTATGATGAATATAAAATAAATAAATAAATAATGGAGTCAAAGTAAGCCAAAAGGCAGGCTAAGCAGTTTTCCCTGGGCCTCACCTCAAAGCTACACACAAATGATTCCAGGGGACAACTGGGCATTTTATTTATTAGAGTGAAGAAGACAAGCTGCGGGCTCAGCCAACTTGAGAGAGCACTCTGAGTCTATAATGGGCTGAGCCCTTCCTCAGACACAGCTGCTTGTATCCTTGAAGGAACCTTGTTGGGCCCTAATTGTTAGTTTACTGTTTATGACTTTTCTCAAGTGGGCCAGAAATAAACATTTTGATAATATGAATCATCTGAAATGTATAACTAGCTAATTTAAACACAGAAAGCAATAAAAACATGAAGATCAAACAAGACAGCTGGTTGAAACTGGATCATTGGTGACTTGCAGGTATTTGCCAGAATAAACTGTATGATCTATTAAAAAACCTAAAACCTGCTATGGTGAGGTGGGCTTGATTGTGCCTCTCTTGAGGCAAACAGCTTCAGGTCATATTGGGGGGAGAATGAAGATGACTTAACCTTACTTTCAACTCCTGGAAGCTCCCTGCTTCCCGATCCTCCTGCTATTCATGGAGTTTGGTAAATACAGGCATTGAGGAGTCATCAGAACTTTTCTATTATGGGCAAGTGCATATTTTAGTGAGGTGAGTAAACCAGAAAGAGGGTTTTTGAGAGGAACTTCCATGGCGGAACTGGGGAAAGGCAAGGAGAGGAAGAGAAGGGTCATGTGTCCAGACGCCGTATCTCTAAGGGATTTTACTGGGGTTACCTCATCCTCTCCCCAACAACCACTATACCTATATGGGGCAATACAGAGTCCAAGGAGTTAGTTAAACCAAGCCACAAACTCCAGCCTGACTTCCCCATGCCATCTAGCTCACCTGGAAACACAGCTGCACAAACTTCTATCACTATTCCCCATGTGCTTGGGGTGGGCAAATCTGGCCAGGAGTTCCCTGTGAAGAGTCAGTAGCCACCTTGTTGGGATATAGCCAACAAATGAGGCCTCTGGGGGCAGCAGACCTCAATTTGGTGGAGCACTGGCTGGAGCCACCTGTCGTTTCAGGCAGCTACTGAGAGAAGCATGGACTGTCATGCTCCACGCCCTGGAGAGAAACAGTAGGTACAATCCTCTGATGCCTCTCCTCTGTAGGTAGGCAAGGTACAGCCCAGCCAGGGACAGGACAATGAAGGGACTGATGTACATGGCTTCTGCAAGGTTCATTTTTTGTGCATAAAATACTTTCCAAATGCAGTGGCCCAGCTTTTAAGTTCTGAGAGCCCCACTGACCCAATCCCCACAGAAACTGTTTATACGGTGTAGGGTAAAGGAATGAAGACCTTCAGGTCCCCGATTTACTACACCTGGGTCCTCTGGGAAATGTGAGGCCACCCACAGCTACATGCTTAAGTGCGCAGTGTCAGTGTGTTTAGGCTGAGGGTTGGGGGCTCTGCTTTGCAGTTGTGGCATGAATTCCCTGAAATAAAAGTTTTAGGTATAAACTTGGCTCCTGTTTAACCCTTGAGTCATCCCTATCAAAATATCCACCTGGTTTCTTTGAAAGTTGCCACATCCTTTGTGCACAGAGCCAGGGACAGCGATGTGGATACTGTCGGAAGTCCAAGTTTTTCCTGGGCCTTGCCATCTCTCATGAGTCCCACTCCCCACACCTTTTTCTGTATTCTCACTGCCTTGGTCAGTCTTTCTTCTTAGAGTTCCTCCTTCCTCAGTATCCCTGGCCCTTGGCCCCTCATACATGCATAGGCTCTCCCTTAGAGTATCCTTTAGCCTCTCCCCAAATCCCTGCCAACTTTGTCTTTCTCCCTTGCTCTGGACCCCTTCTGAGCTTTTTTTGTGCCCCTCTCTACTCAATTTATTCTGTCTGTTTTCCTCTAAGCCCCAAGGTCTCCCTCTGTTATTCTTCACCACCTCCCAGTTGGGTGCCTCCCCCTCCTAAGACATCCCTCCTCCCAGGGAGCCCCTCCATTTCTGGCCCCTCCCCACTTCTTCCTAAGCAGTCACTTCTCCTTTCCCCTCCCCCCACAGCCCATCTCTGGTTTCTTCTCCTCCCTCCTCCCTAGACTAGGCCNCCCAACAACCACTATACCTATATGGGGCAATACAGAGTCCAAGGAGTTAGTTAAACCAAGCCACAAACTCCAGCCTGACTTCCCCATGCCATCTAGCTCACCTGGAAACACAGCTGCACAAACTTCTATCACTATTCCCCATGTGCTTGGGGTGGGCAAATCTGGCCAGGAGTTCCCTGTGAAGAGTCAGTAGCCACCTTGTTGGGATATAGCCAACAAATGAGGCCNCTTACACACAGCAAGTCATGTCCACACACATTTGTATTTTTCAGAACAAATCAACAGTTATGCTGGCATTGGTGTTGGTTGGTAGGGACTCTAAAGCTTTCTGTACATTAAAAAGGTACATTTTTTGTGTGTCTCTAAATCATAATTTGCCTCCACAAAGTGGCAAAGTGTACCCTAACAGTTAGGACTTTTTTACCAAATCATAGACATAGATATGGAAATCATCATCAAACTTGATGAAGTACACAGAAGGTTTGGCTTTGACTTGGTGAATGACCTTGCCTGTCCTTTTGGAGCCATCTTCTTTGGTATATTCCACATGTTTGCCTATCAGGCCATCTACAACTCCTTCTGGCTCCCTCTCTGCTGGAGGAGACTTATTGGACTCTGGAATGATACGAAGGTCTCCTTCTTTATAGTCATCTAGAAGCTGGTACATGTACAAGACAGGATCTTTCTCATAGGTAATATAAAACCAGGCTTTCATGATTGGTGCTTGCGCTAGGACCATCCCTCTCCATTCATCCTTAGAACCATGCTCGCCCTCGAAAATATGTTCCACAGCTTTACCAATTATTGTATTTGCAAGGCGCACATCTCTTACTCGAGAAAATGGCACCTTATCAGGAAGGATTTTAAGCTTTAAAATCCTTTCATCTCTGTGAAGTTCCAGTCCATAGACACAGTCAATTCCATCATATTTCACCAGATAAAGAGAGGGATTTATAGGCACCTGATCCAGAACGGTTCCTTTCCACTGGGTGATGGGCTCGTCCCCTTCCTTCCATCCGTGTGAAATTCTGCAGCCCACGATGTTCCTGCGGGGCTGGGATGAAGGTCTGCCCCTCTGTTTCTTTTGAGAGGTTTTTTTCTTCCTCGTATTTGCAGATCCGGTGTGGTGACTGACAGCTTCCCTGGTCTCCTGCCCTGCAGCTACCTTTTTGTGAGGAGTCTTCATACCTGCAAGGGAGGAAAGAGGCTAGGAAGAAACATTTAGTGTATTATAGCATGAATTATTTTTCTCTATCACAAAGTCGCTGTGCACCAGGTACCTTGCTGCCCAAATTATTCAGAAATGTCCAGCAGGAATGCTCGCTACTAAGATATTATTGGATGCTTGCCTACAGTGCCCTCCCTCCAGGCTCCTTTGGCTGTGCTAGAGTTTTAGAGAGGTGGTGGTTGTTTTGATTGAGGCCCCCAAAACAGTGATCAGGCTCCTTTGCATAATGCCTGATCCTCTGTTGTTATCCTAGAGTACTTACACCAAACACAAATATTCACCATTTCTTAGATTCCACCTCATTTCTTCATTTCCACTAATGTAGTCCACATGTCCCTTGTCCATCGTAGTCTGCACTTCATCCCTCTTAATTACCATAATGATGCCTTCCGCCTGGTGTTCTTGTCTCTCTCCTTCATCTCCTTCCTATTCATTCCCATTTCCCTGCTGAGTGCCCACAACAAACCCATTTCCTTTTCTAGCCACCTTTGTACACCATCCAGGTGCTTTTTGGCTCCCCGTCCCATCTCCAGTCTCCAAGTCACTCTTCTCATTCTCTCTCCTGTCCCATCCCAGCACCGACCCCAATTGTTCTGCCTGACACGAACCAACCCCCATCCTCCAGCTTTCTAGTCCAGTGCCCACCTCCCCGCGTCCGGGGATCGCGGGCTTCAGGTGCCCAAATAGAGGACACCTCGCTGCTGCCTTCGCTGTGAACCTGTGACGAAAGTGGATCTGCAGGCGCCGAGCCGCGAGCTCCCAAGAGTTGGTTGGGGAGGATCCGTAGATGAGGAGCGTGTCTGGGAGGGCGTGCCGGCAGGCGAAGAGGATGGCGGCTGTGTCTCCAGCACTGTGCTCACGGACCCTCTGCCTCGCAGTCCGCAGCAGAGGCCCCTCTGCCACATCGGGATCCCACCAGCCGCTACTGCAGCCGTCTCCTCCCCCACTCCGTAGCTCAGCTTCCTGCCAGGAGAGAGGCCTCCTCTTCCTGCCAAACACAGGGTGCCCCCGCCCCCAAGTCTCAAACCCACCCCTGCATTTGGCAGGGGAGGTACTCCTGATCTCCTGTCCCCGCCCCTTTCCGAAATCAGTAGTTGCTGGGCCGAGGACTCTTCCCGTGTTCTGTTCACTTCAGGGCTCTTTAGCGCCTGTGCTCACCTCTACACCCAACCTCTCAGTCCCCCTGCCTAATCTGCTTTTCATCTTCCAGGAATTTGTCTTGTCTTTTTTTTTTTTTTATTGCCCTTATGTAGTTATTCTTTATACATAAATCTGCCTTTCCTGTCATTTGTAAGGATTTGGATAGGAAGAGAGAAATGTGCTAATTCTCAGTCTGCCATCTTGACCCAATCTCTACCTAATGTTTCCTGAGTGGTCATTCTTGGATTTACTTCTTAAGAATTACCCCTGCCTTTCTTTTCCTTTTTTCTTTTTCTACTTTATTGCAAATGAAGTACACAATGTTAACACTGCGTAAATTTCAAAAACTGATATGAAGAAAATAACCAACTGAAATTCCAATTCCCATTCCCTGGAGCTCACAGCAAAACATTAATACTCATTATGTCTTTTGCCCTTTTTTCCTAGGCTGTCACAAAACTGGTATATTTTGCATACATAAGTTCCTGCTCTGTTTTTTTCCATATAGAATAAGCATTTTCTCAGGACATTTAAAAAAACAAAAACAAAAAAAAACATTATTTCCCTTCTCAGTCCACAAATACTTCTTGAGCACTTATTACATATCTGACCATTTGTCTATAAAATTCAATTTTACAATGACCACAATTTAACTTTTCCCTCATTACTGAACATTTGGAAAATGTATCCGCAATAAATGGTAATGTGATCTATTTATCAAAAAGTAGAGCTTAGGAAAAAAATAACTTTCTAAGAAACAGGTAAAATGACAGTTTTATAATTCAGTAGAAAAAGATTGGTTATTCTTTAAGCAATGCTACAGTGATTTTTTAAATATTTGGGGAAACAGAAATAACACCACATATATTTAGGCAAATAATTTTTAAAATATGTTTTTATTGATTTCAGAGGGAGGAAGGGAGAGGGAGAGAGATAGAAACATCAATGGTGAGAGAGAATCATCGATAGGCTGCCTCCTGCATGCCCGCTACTGGGGATTGAGCCCGAAACCTGGGCAGTGCCCTGACTGGGAGTCAAACCGTGATCTCCTGGTTCATAGTTCGATGCTCAACCACTGAGCAACACTGGCCGGGCTGGGCAAATAATTTTTGACAAAGGAGACAAAAACACACAATGGAGAAAAGAAATCTTCTTCAATAAACGGTGCTGGGAAAATTGGAAAGCCACATGCAAAAGAATGAAACTAGATTACAAGTTTGTCCCATGTACAAAAATTAATTCAAAATGAATCAGAGACCTAAATATAAGATCAGAAACAATAAATTACATATAAGAAAACATAAGTACTTAACTTATGGACCTTGGTCATAGAGAACATTTTATGAACTTGACCCCAAAGCAAGGGAAGTAAAAGCAAAAATAAATGAATGGGACTATAT